GTCAGTGCAACCAACCCCAATCAGACTTCTGTTATCTCCTCTAGATTCCTATAGCATTAGCTCTCCAGGTTGCTTGGTACAATCTAACAGCATGGAAGTTAGAGCCAGAGACTCTGAGTTTGAATCCTGGTTCTTTCAATAGATGTGTAGCATGATAAGCCATTAATCATTCTGAACCTGTCTCTCCTTCAGTAAAAGAGATACCAATACAGTTATCTACTTCTATTGGGTTATATAAAGAATTAATTGAGACAAACTCTTTAACCCTTTAGAATAGTACAAAGTCAGTGCTTAATAAATAGTAATTTCCTTTCTTTATCCCTTTCCCCCAATCATTCCCTTAGCACTAAATATAAAATAAATAATACTAATCGCTTATATGTTCTTACCCCCTTCTCTTTTGGCTACATACAAATATTTCTTGAGGACAAAAAATATATGGAATTCACCTTAGTAATCCTAGTATTTGGAAATTTCTGAGCAACTGGGAAGCTCTCAAGAAATATGTAGTAAACAATAAGATAAATTTGAGAAATAATGTAAGACAAATAATTCCATAGAGAAGCTTTCCTCTGTGGGACTTAAATATCTAATTAATTGCATTTATTCTTAAACTATATTTCCCATGACAAAAGCAAAGGAAGGTATTTTACTGTCAGAAAACCTAAAAAAGCTCTAATGGGGGGCATCTCAGTTGATAATGGTGATGGAAAGGAGTGTCATTAGAAAAGCATTAATAAAGGGAAGATCTCCTAAAAGTAAAGTTGAGCCCAAGAACACTAATAACGGCAACAATAATGAACCTGGAGACGATGCTGACAACAAGCAATGGACATTTTTTCAGGACATCTGTCATGTAACCATGTGACTGCTGCAGATCCAAAACGGCTGATGATATTGATGATTGCACCAAAAAGTGTCCAATCAAACTGGTCACATCAAACTACCCTCCAGGGGATTCTCAAATTTTGAATCCAAGCAGCAACAAATTATTTTATATATATATATACACACACACACACATATATAAAATATATATAGTCTCATATATATATATATATATTATGTTCTCTAGTGTTGCTGACTTCTACAATATTTTTAGATGAAATCCAGTATCACCCACTCCCATAGAGGTGAAATGCTTTTCAGAGAGAAGGGAGCTATTTTCCTTAATCAACAACTCAAAACATCTTTGTTCATAAGTGTTGTGGCAGAAGAAAATATATAATCTGGCATATTGGGCATCTGAATATTTTCCTCCAAATACAGAGCAAAGTACCCTAAAAGTTCAAGTTGTTTTAAACTTACTACACATAGGTTACATAGTTTGGACAAAGAGCACCAGGAACTGGGTCAGCTGGTTTGTTGTGAGAGCCCTGCCATGATTTGCTCTACATCCTCAGACAAGTTCATTCCTTCAGTAGACATTTCCTAAGTTATTACCATGTATCAAACATTATATTAGATGATAGGAACCCAGAGGTTAAAAAATACAAGTAACCAATGTCTTTCTGGAATTTAAGAGTCTAATGTGGAGACAGGCAATTGGGCAGTATTTCACCAAATTCACTTTCCTTTCACCCTGGACAAAAAGATAGGCCAAACTTCCTAGCCTCCATGTAATAGCATTCTGCCCAGTAAAATGTCAGCAGAAGTGAAGTGTGCCATATCCAGGCCTAGATATGGATAACCATGGAAAATCTCCCTCGAGGTTATCGACTTTCTCTCTCTATCCTTTTATGTGCCAGATGAATGCAGAAGACTCTGCAGAGAACTCGGATCTCAAAAATGACAGAGCCACAGATGGAAAGGAGCAGAAGGCCACATTCTGACCACCCCCTTGAAACTATTATGTGAACATGCAAGAGACTCCTATTGTGTGACGTGACTGAGATTTGAAGCTATTTGTTACAACAGTTAGTCTACCAAAGCACGAACCACAACTATTAATACTTCCAAGACATTATGATGCAGAGCATGCAAAGGATGATGTATGTGGAAATACCAAATAAGAGGTAACTCGCCCGAGCTGCAAGTGGATATCAGGGAGGGCTCCCCAGAGGAAAAAACTTGTAAGTATGTGGCAGTGAGAAGGAAAATGGAGGGTTGCAGAGGATAAAGCATATGCAAAGTCACAAAACTTTGAGGAAATGTGGTGCATGGGAAAAGTGTTAGCGATTCCTGACTGCTGGAATATGGAGTCGCTCTGGGAAATGGAGCTGCTCCGTGTGTAACTGTTGAAATGACTGATAAAGAGCAGAACCTAAGAGACTCAGTAACTATTAGAAATGACGGACACGGGAAGAGGAAAAAGCAATAAAGGACCTTTGACTTAGAAGATGAATAATGAGGTCAATTTTGAAAAAAAAATTGAAACTGGAATAGCTATGGAACATCCCAAAGAAGAATCCACAGGCAGGTGAATATATAGGCCTAGAGCTCACAGCAGTGGTGTGGATGGGAGAGGGGGGGTTTGGAAAAGGCCACAATGTCGATTGCGGTTGAAGTCACATCTTCACAAGCATGAACCACATTCATAGGAGCATGATGAGGATACTCAGGTCAAACAGTCACAGTGAGAAGTCAGAGATACAGGGAAGGAATAGAGAAGAGAGTGAAAAGGTGTAAGCGTGAGAGTGACAGCAAACAAGTAAGAGAGAGAAAACATGAGAAAGAAGTCACGGAAGCCAAAGAGAAGAAATACTGAAAACGGAGTTGATGGAGGCGAGTGCTTCAGAAAAGCGAAGTAAGATGATGACCTGAAAAATGTCCATTAAATTTGACAAGTCGGCAGCTATGTGTGACCTGAACAAGTCCTGTTTCAGTATTGGCAAAAGCCTGGCTATAATAGTCTGAAGAATGAATGAAAGATGAGGAATCAGAGGTAGGAATATAGAATACTCATTAAAAAAAATTAGTTCTGAAAACGATAAGCTAGAAGTAGACAAACATAGTTTATCTCGCTTTATTTTAGTTTTTATTTCTCAGGATGCAAGACTTAAATATGTTAATATGTCTAATTGTCTGAACTTTTATTTTCCCTATCAATAATATAGGGCAATAATGACTATATGAGCCACTGAATTGTTGTCGGAGCAAATAAAGTAACATGTGAAAGAATCTAAAGTACTATGTAAAGTCCAATGTTGTTATGTATTTATAAATGTTGAAAGAATAGAGTTATACAAGTTAAGAGTCCAGTGAAATATGGATTGGCTATAAAATCAGCAAAACATTATAATCAGTCTTAGAGGCTAGCAACAGATTCTGAAGTCCCTTGCTGGACAATTCTTCTGGTACTCCTAATTTGTAGCTTGGGTTTCCAGATGTCTTCATTATGCCAGGAAAACAAAACAAAACAAAACAAAACAAATGCCAATGAATCCTGGCAAATGACTGGGCATTAAGTCATTTGGGAATTTATTAGTCTTATGAGTAGCAGTTCTTAAATAAAGGTTTCTGGCCATCACCCAGTTTCACAAAGCAACAGACCAGCTCCATAATTTAAGTCTCATGACCAGTGAAATCACGGTGAATGGCCACAGCTTGCTGAGTATGTTATTCCAAGGGGTGATGGAGGTATTATGGGAAGTAAGCTAGCCATTTTAGGACTTCCCTCCTGGGAAGTTTAATCATCCAAAAGAATATGGTCTAATCATTATTTCACTAGTCTTGAAACCTCGAAGACCCCGCAAAGAACATTATTTTTAGCACTATGACATCAGTATAACTAGTCATATAACTTCTAACAAGTAGTTTTAAAATGCCCCATCCTCCTCCCCTGGGAAGATATCTTACCCTTGTATAAGGAAAATGTCTCTTTCCTTTTCTCTGCACTTTTGTACAACTACCCTATGACAGGATTTCCTAGCTGCTGACATATGTTCCCCAGTTATTTTTATTTTCAGGGGTGTAGGGTGCTAATTAAGGTCAAGCAGCTGTGTCTCCAGTTCCAAACAGCAATTGTGCAGAATAAGTAAACTTCCCTTTCCAATAGATTTCAGAAATCCAATCTTGAGATCCAAATAAACCCCATCTGCTATTATTTTTGCATTTTAAAAAAATCTTAGACCAGGCTATAACACTTAAGTTATGCTTCTTTTCCCCACGTTTCCCAAATATTTTATCCTTAACGTTTGACACTGCCATAATAGCTATTAAACTAGGTTGAACATCTACATCTCAGTTTTTAGACTTTTTGTCCACTCGAATAATACTGAATTTCATCTTAGGACTAAGGGCCAATGAAGTTCTTGATTGAGGCCATTACCTCAATCAAGACTACAAAGAAAAAGATAACTCCTATGTTACGCTCAAACAATATTACCAAATATTTATATGGACCTTTGTAGATAATCATTTACAGATAGTTAAGTATCTTTTTCAAGTTGACCTCATTTAATCTCAAAATTATTTTGTACATTTATTATTATTCTTTATCCCTGATTAATAGAAGAAAATTATGAGGCCTAGAGAAGTTTAAGAAACATTCCTAAGACCACATAGTTGTTCAGGAGCAGAGCCAAGTCTGTATCCAAGGTACTCTAATTCCCTAACTCTTCACTATACCATAGATGGCCCCCATCATGTCACCCACTCTCTTTTTACTCTACTTCTCTAGCAACATGGAAAACAGCCTGGCTCCCTCTGAAGTCATTAGGAATCTCTGATGAAATGCAGACATGAACTCAGTTCTTCCTCCAACGAAAATACATAATATATTAGTTATATAAGGAATGTAATGGGATCACTGTGGATGTGGAAAGCTTTAAAGCTTTTTAAAGGAATGCACAAATGATGCTTGGAATCCAGAAAAGCCCAAGAAGACATTACAAACAAATGACCAAATGTGGAATGGGTGGTGGGGATCGGGGGGCGGGGGGAAACTCCATGAACAATAAGTATTTTCATTTGAATGGTTTGTTTTTATTTCATAAGGACTTTTCCTTCAAGGAAAACCCTTGTTTTTGAAAGGAGTTCAAATGATCATTATGACAAACCTGTAGATGGAGAGGGAGGCCACGGATCGAATGAGAGATGCCACAGCCCCGACCTTGGCAGCTTCCACCGCTCCCTGCGTTCGGTATTGCACCGTCCTCGAGTAGTTGATGTAAGGTTGGTTATAAACAACAATCTTCCCTCTTGCTTCTGAGGCCCTTCTCTGCAGTTCATCAAAAGAGGTCACCACCAGAACTTCTGCTGTAATGCCTAGAAATAAAAGTCATGCAAGATTAACTTACAGTTTCCCATCAGCCAGGCTCAATTGGCACATGAAAGGTCACACACATGCTCTTTCTGCTACATCTGGCAAACTGGTATGAGAAGATCAAAGTTTTAGAGCCATTTAGCATGGGAAAGAGATTGTGGGGTTAGCCAACTTCCCAAGAGAGTGAAAATGCATTTAAAATAATACAACATACAAATCGTATGGTTTTTCAACTCACTAGACCAACTGGTATTAAATCACAAACTGCTTGAAACGATAGCTTCTTTTTTAATTCTTTCCCACCCTGAGAAGTCACACATTTCACAGAATGATGCTAGTCATTTATTTTTAAAAATGCATTTCAGAAAGCTCTCCTTAGGATTAATGAAACACATATTAATCTTTTTATAAAACTATTTTGATATGTTGCTAAACAACCTACAACAACATCACACAAAGGATGCCAGTGTGTGAAGAATACTCTTAGAAGCCAATGTTCTTCATAAATCAAACTTTTAACAAATGGTTAATGTAACCTCTCTCAAGAACCACAAAAAGTAAGCTTTCCCTCCTCCTTTGTATAAAAACATGCTTGAAGAGTGGAAACTTCCCATGCCTCCCAATTTACGGTACTTGTTCATCACCAAACACATCATTATTTTTCAAATAAAAATTTTGAAGATGTTGTGTAATGGCGCTATAATCCTGTTGTCTTGGTTAGAAAAGATGTCCCTTCGTTTCTTATACCATAACACTTGCCCACATCTTCCTGATTAGGGAACAGGGTTTCACATCTTCCAAGAAATCATTCAAAATGTGCCAGACCATTGAAGATCCAAATTGATGGAGTAGTTACAGTAACAAGGAAAAAATACTTGGCAACAAAGGCCAGAGGCAGTGGCTAAATATATCTAAAAGAAAGTAGCGGTAGGCGCCTAATGTTTTGTGACTTTAGCCATGCAATCATGAAGTATGTCAGTAAAAAACAAAGTATCAACATATATTTCCATATTTCCTTAATATTAAAAGCTAGAGAACTAAGTTTTTCTGAAAGCTTAACAAATGTTAACTGTTACTTGGAAAATCCTTTTAAAATGCACTACAGGTATGCAAGAATTTTTGCTTTCAATATAGGCCTCATCATAATGGGCCCTTTGGGCTGGCTACTCCCCTGGTACCATGATCCAGACTGAATTTCTATTTTCACTTTAAAGTGATTGGCTACAGATCTATAGGTATGTCTTCACCAACACTGAGAACTCAATTTATAGTCTAAAAGAAGCAATGTATAATTATGGAAAGTAAGGAAACCACTAGCTTTTTCATATAATATGCATGCATAAAAATACAAATAAGAGTTTGGCTAGACAGATTTTGAGATTCATACATTTCTGAAACCTGGAGTTACCTTGAAATTTGACTGGTGTTATTGTTGGCATAGTATGGGAACTTGGCTGATGGTTTTCAGCTGTTCCTAATGAATAACAGGTTCGATGGTCCACTCAAGGGATGTGGCAACAATGGGGTAATTTTGGCATCTGGATTGGAGCCAATAGAAATGAAGCCAAATTTCTATAAATTTTCATAGGCCACTGTGAAATTAAAGTCATATGAGGGTGGTACTTCATTATGGTCTATGTTTCCATTCAAGTTTTTTTTTTTTTTTAAACAAACAAGAGCGTGGAGTCCTAAAGTGCCAAAACCTAACCTAGACACCACAGTTGCCAATGCAAATCACTAGCAGCAGCTATAGGTCAAAACCTATCACTGTGAACTTGGAAGAAGAGTTTAAATTAATCTGTTTTGCTGAAAACTCACAGTCATCTCTGATTCCTCTGTCTCCTTTATCCCCCACATCTAATCAATCCCCCAATACTGATAATTTTGCTCCTTAGAAATCAATACCAATTGAAATCATGAACTCTGTTCAACCCCCTTACACTCTCACAGCAGGCCCTCATTACCTCTCTTTTGAACTGTAACAGGTCTCTACTCTCTGGCCCTCCCATACCACTGGTGTCCCAGCCTTCAGCCTGGCTCCCTTTTACCTTCACAGAGCTGCCAGAGTGAACAAGTCAAACTACTGAAGAGTCAGATCTGCCCCTGGCACCATCACCGATCCCTCTTCCCCATTTCCACCTCTGCTGAAAACCCATCATTTCCACATCCAAAGTCTGCCTACCTGTAACACTGGCTCCCATCTATTTTACTTTTATTTTTTGTGACTCCTTTCTATTTTATTTTATTTATTTTATGCTATTTTATTTTATTTATTGAAACAGAGCCTTGCTCTGTCATCCAGGTTGGCATGCAGTGGTGCAATCTTGGCTCATTGCAACCTCCGCCTCCCAGGTTCAAACGATTCTCTGGTCTCAGATTCCTGAGTAGCTGGGATTACAGGTACCCACCACCATACCCAGCTATTTTTTGTATTTTTAGTAGAAATGGGGTTTCACTATGTTGGCCAGGCTGGTCTTGAACTCCTGATTTCAGGTGATCTGCCCACCTCGACCTCCCAAAGTGCTAGGATTACAGGTGTGAGCCACCATGCCTGGCCTACTCCCTTCTATTTTAGACTTTATCAATAATAAACTTGAAAGTTCCCACTCTCACGCCATGCCATTTCACTCTTCAGTGTCTGTGTTCATGCTGTAGTACATCATATTTTGTTGACCTCCTTTTCCCACCTTCATCAGGTGACCAGTGCCTATGTATCCCTCAAGATTCCTTTCAAGAATCACTTCTTTAGGGAGCATTCCCTGGCCTCTTGTCTCCTGTAACATCAGGGAAGCCTGGATCAGGTACTGCCCTCCTCTGGATTTTCAGGGTACCTGGGACATATCTGGGAACTGAATTAATGAAACTCTCTCTACCCCTTAAACTGTAATTTCCTCAATTTGGGTCCATGTTCATTTTTGTTTGTGTGTCAAGGGACTAACCCAGTGCCTGGAGTACATGTAGCCAGTTGGTCGTTAAGCACCCCTTGAGTTGTGCTGCTCTAAATAAGAGACTGATGACTGGATCTAAAGCATTTCCATGAATGTTCAATTTTACCTTTAAAGTTTGATAGCCCTTCTCCCATAGGAACCCAGCAGTCTGATTCCCTTACACCTACAGTACAGCTGCAGAACAATAACCAAGCAAAAGAGGCCTTGGGGCACTCAGAATAGAAATAAAAATTCCAAGTACAAAAATTTGAACGCAAGAAAGTGCTTCTGATCTCTTAGAACATGGTTACCCTTACTTTACACAAAATCCTACATCTGGCATTTAAACCTATCAGCTATGAGAAATAACAAATCAAAAAGAGGAAATAAGGTCTGAAAACTGACAACAGTACCACAAAAAACAATGTTGGAGTCAGAAACATATAAAATAACTAACACTGAAAGAACTTTCTGCAGTGATAGAAATGTTTGATATCTGTGCTAACACAGTAGCCATTAGCCACATGTGGCTATTGACCACTTGAAATGTGACTAGAGTGACTAAGAATCTGAATTTTTAATGTCATTTAATTTCAATTAATTTGTATGTACATTTAAATAGCCACATGTGGGTAGAACTCACAATGACTGCAGGCTCAGGCCATTGCATAGGACAAATAGATGACAGCATCTCTTTTGGCCCTGAGGGACTTGCTTCATGAAAGTCCCATAACAAATTGAGTCATGGTGATGACTTCCTCCAGCAGTCACAGACAAGGTGGGCCACTGTATTCAGTAGCCATTGTTTGGGAAGGCAGGTGTGTACAAAATACTTAAAGAAGATTTTTGCTCAAATGGAGTAAAATAAAACTAGACCACCTAGAAAATTTTACTCTTCTATATCAGTTTGTGTTTTGACACCTTACACCAAAGGGAATATTCATGCTTGCCTACAAATCAGCAAGCTCTTACTCTTACCTCTCATCACCCTTCTTCCCATCCTCCCGTTCCAAAAGATAGTTCAGGAAAACCTCTAAGAACACAAAACCAGTGTCATATTCACAATAAGGCCCACTCTAACTTCCCTATTAATAATTGCAACTCACTCCCAACATCCTATCCCTCTTAGCTTGTTTAATTTTTTTACAGCATTTATCAGTTTCCAGTTGCACCCCTATAATAATGTAAGTTCCAAGTGCCTGAAATAGTGCCTAGCACACAATATGTGAAACACACACACACAAACACATACCCACAACCCACTGAATGAACGAAGAGAAACCGAAAAAGTAAAGTATAATACCCCATCCCTGTTCACTCTCCAGAAATGTATACTTCCAAGGAAGTATTTCTCTAGGTCAGAATAATTGATGATAATAATAATAATAGCTATATTTGAATGTCCATTGTTTACACTAATACTCACAGCAACTCTGCAAAGTAGTTATCATGAGGAGACTGAGGTGCAAAGAAGAAATTTCACATAACTGCTAGATGCTGAAGCTGAGATTTGTAACTATTGGATATCTGAATCCAGGGGTCATGTTCTTCCCATTAACTGCATTGTTATCTTCTTTCACAAATGTAACATATATCAAAAGAAAATCTCGGCATTTTCATTTTAAGAGGAATTAGGAAGGAAAACAAATAGGTATATAAAAGTCTGCCTAAGTTGTCAGCAATTCTTTTCCTTAATCTACAAGAATCTTGCTCATCGATCAGGGTGCTGTTATCACACTAGGTCCCAATCTCTTAATAAGGGAGTTGGGAGGGGTGTTTCCCTCTAGAATAGGGAGTCATCAGACTCTGTTAGAGTAATGAAAAGGACTGTAATAGCTAATTTCTGAAGAGAATGTGGGACTGAAGTTAAAAATACTCATTATAAAGTAACTCTTTTGGCTACAGTCTATTATACCACAAAAATACTATAAAAATCCTCAGGTTCCTTTCTATCTTCCACACCCAATTTTCAAAACCGATCAAGTTTTTTAAGCCACTTAACCTGTGTGTAATTACTACTGTGGTCTCCTAGCACAGACAACAGATGTTGACTGCTGTGGTATTGGCGCGGATCA